ATGCATGTGTCCTTTACTTTATATATTTTGTAAATGAATCATTTGCATAATCATTTGCCTAGACACCCGTTCAAGGCATACACATTAGGAGTATGTCTTGAATAGTCCCTGGTTGGGATTGTCCTTGTACGCTTATTCTCACTTACGTGGTGAATGTATGCCTTGCTATTGATTCTAGGGAAAATCCTGCCTTTTCATTTCTATACAATGTTCTCTGGGTACATATGTAGGTGTGTTTAATCGCCTACATCGTGTACTTGGAGAATTGTAGGGAAATGCTGGCGGATTTTCCATAGAATTGAAAACCTGGCTTACATTCACTAGTGAGATTAAGCGTACAAGGATGGGTTAGGTTGGAGTGTTAAGGACCCTTTGGAAGCATTTCAAATCTCAGTTGCATTTCCATAACACTTTGATGGATAATGACTAGGAAATACGCTTTATGACTAATGTGATTATACATATGCGTGAGTTGTGTAGAATTTGTAATCATGAAACGAACAGAACGTAGCTGGATGTATGAAAGGAAGGTTGGGAAAAGTATTAATCCAGAGTTCGTGAAAGGGTTGATGAATTCATTCAATACGTCAAAGATAATCCCGAGAGTAGTAACCCGAATGAAGTTAGGTGTCCATGTGCTAAATGTAAGAACAAACGACTTTGGGATCCAAAAACGGTTAAAATTCATCTGTTTCGCACAGGTTTTATATCTAATTACTATGAGTGGATGTGTCACGGGGAAGGGTTTCCGAGTGTTCCTGAACGGGGGTCCAATGAATATCGTGAAATGGTTTTCGATGCTTTTGGTCATAGTCAAGATCAAGGGCATTCCGAGCAGGCTAGTGTTTCATCAGAGGAGGAGCCTAATGCACAAGCTAAGCATTTTCTGGATTTGTTGAAGGCTTCTGAAAGGCCATTATAAGAAGGGAGTTCGTTGTCTGTGTTAGAGATGGCCGCTAGAATCACTAGTCTAAAGTGCGAGTATAATCTGCCCCACACATGTGTTGATGGGTTTGTTTCTTTGCTCAGTGAAGCAATTCCTAACAACAATCATATGGCCGATACATTCTATGAGGTGAAGAAGATTGTGAAGGGCTTGGAACTGCCTCATGAAAGGATTCATACTTTCCCGAAAGGATGTATGTTGTTTTAGAAGGATGATGCTCAACTGTCTATGTGTAGGGCGTGTGGCAGCGACCGATACAAGCAGACTTCCAAGGGTAGACTTCCAAGGGTAAACTTAGGGAGTTTATTTTTTTTGTGATTTCAAGGCATGTACATCTAGGACTACCTATAATAGACATGTTATGAGAAAGAAATGGTTCATTTGGTAAGAAATGTAGAAAATAGCCAAAGAATAGGTCATATAGGCCTTACTTGGTTCTATTTTGTTCAGGAAGCTGATTTTAACTTAAATCTGTGTGCACCTTTTCATATGTGTATCTTGTAGGAGGCCTACCAGAAGAAAGTTGAAGAAGCAAGCACCCAAGGGATTCGGAAGAGTCCAAATGAGTTGTATTAGGAAACTGTAGGTGGTCGCAACAACAAGGGTCGTGTGAAGGGACTTGGCCAAGGTGCAGAACTGTATTATGGCAACAAGAAGGGTTCAGGTTCCAAGTCTTCCCAGCAGTACACGCCTTCCTTTCTTTCCCAGATGCAGGATCAGGTGGAATAGAGGGTAGAGCAGAGGGTGGAGGAGAGGGTGCAAGCTATGTAGAGTGAAATGGAAGTCGAGATGGAGGCTCGATTGGCCGAAATAGAAAGGAGAAACTAAGAGAGGTATGAAGAGATGATGCGTCGATTCTCCAGCAACGACCCATGTTCCATCATTCCACATCAGCATCGAGACCCCACGAACGACCCGGGTAGCGGCGGTGCAGGGCAAAGTACTCCGACTGTAGCTTAGAATTTGTGTATATAGTATGTATTTAGATTTAGATTATGTTTTATAGTTGCACAAAATGTATACATTATTATAAATAAATATATAAAAATATTTTCGTAATTAAATCATCAAATCAAAGTTATCTTAAATTAGGTGCAGGATATATAGGTGACGAAATTCAAATTAAATCATTTAATTTGCTAAATAAACAGGACTATTCCGACGAAAAAATCCGTCGGAAGCTCTTACTTTCCGACTGAATTAGTCGTCGGAATCTTCCGTCTTCCGACGGAATTTTTCGTCGGAACATATCCTCTTCCGATAGAATATTCTGTCGAAAAGTAAGAGCTTCCGACATAATTTTTCGTCGGAAAAGGACATGTTCCGACGGAATTTTACGTCGGAAGAGGATATGTTATGACGGAATTTTTTTCCTCGGAAAATTGCGACGACTCTCGTTTAAAGTCAAAATAAGCTTCGACAGAATTGATTCCGTCGGAAAAGTGGCTTCCTACGGAATTTCCCTCGGTAAACGTCAAATTTCCTACGAAGGGTATTGCGATAGTCTTATTCCGACGGAATTCCGTCGGAAGGCCCTTTTCCGACGGAAAAATTCTGTCGGAATCCAGCTGTTTTCTTGTAGTGAACTCAGTTCTATTTTCACCATCAAATTCGTTTTAAAAAGTTCTTTAAAATTAATAAGATCCATTTACAATATATTTAATCACAAAATTTTTATACGTAGCTGGCCAAACCGTGTCACCAACTATTACAAGAGTTACTTTGTTAGTTCTATAGGGGTTACTTAGTTAGTGTTATAGATAGGGGTTACGTAGTCAGTGTTAGAGGTTACTCAGTTAGTATTACAGGGGTAACTCGGTCAGTTTTATAAGGGTTACTTTGTCCGGCCAGATGGTGTGGCTAGCCGCATAAAAAATGCATTGTTATTTAATTTATTTTAAAAAAATATTAGAGAATCAGTAACAATAAGTTTTAATCAGTAAAATAAATTTACTTTTGGTAAAAATACTTTCAGTTTAGTGAAAATTATTTCAAGTCATAGATATCTATTAAAAAACAAAACTATAAAAAGTACACTATCATATAAATATAAGCCATATGATATCGTATGTTTAAATATCCTACATTATCAGAACGAATTATTGTCCGTATTTAACATTCAAGTAAAAATATTATCTTAAAATTTTATCAACCACCTGGGCATCGCCCGAGTACAAAACTAGTTATATATATAAGGGAGTTTTTTCCCAAGATTTTAGAGCGCCACGTAGGATTTTAATTTTTAAAAAATTATTAGAGTGCCACGTAGTATTAATATTTTTAAAACTCTACAGTAGAATTATGCCACGTAAAATACAATTTATTTTAGATCTAAAATTTTATATTAATTATAAAAATAAAATCAGCGTGTTTTCTGTCCCTTAACCAACCGAGTAACCTTTGACCAACCGAGTAACCCCTGACTAAGTAATCCCGACCATACGGTGTGGCTAGCCACGTATGAACTTTTGTGAAATAAAATATTATCTTTTTATATTAGGAATTTTATCTAAATATGAGAAACAAATTTAATAATTTATTTTATAATAAAAAGTTCAAGTAGTAAGCAAGCGAATAAAATCACAAAGTTTATCACATAAATATATATTTAGTAAAATATTTTATTTGAAAAATACAAACAAATCGCGTATCTCACGGGCTTCAACTAGTAAATGTATAAATCCTTCACCTTTAACAAAACATCAAATACTACTAACATTATTGACATCTTATTTTAGCTATAATTTATCGGATTAAAAGTAATAAGGTTTGGATTATTGTCAATTTTTTAGGTTAAATCAACTTTTGACACATACTCTAGAAGTTAGGGGTTTTGGATATAATTCAATGAACAAACAATTCTAAACCAAATAGTCCGTACCTAATTTTATTATATTTTTTCTTGAAAAATGGATTTTTAATTTATATCAAATTGAGAGTTTTTGGATCCAAAAACCGAGCAATTTGAAATTAAATGGATAATTTATCCATTTTAAAAGTAATCTGTTGATGTTATGCTTTTTAGACTTTTTTAAAACTTATAAGATGATTATATTAATTTATATTATTAATTTAAAATAATATCTTTTTACCTGAACTTAACTTATTACCCTTGAATAAAGCTACTTACTTCTGTTTTTTTCATGATGGGGTCAAACAGGTTGTGTCATGATCGAAAATGGGTAAATTGTGTCGGGTTAGGTGAACTTTTGATAGCTCTATGTCGACATGATTGGATCTAATCAAACCTGATTAGCCATTTAGCTCTTTTTTTTTTTTTTTTTTTTTTTTTTTTTTTTTTTGAAAAGGTGAACGAAACACATCCTTTAACACCTAATGCTTATAAGTCAACTAGTTTAGTCCCGTGCGTTGCATGGATTAAATATCTATTTATGTTTAACATAGTTGTCAATATTCTTTATTTGAAAAATATGTAATCATAATCTAATTTATTAATTTTGAAATAAATATTGTACTTGTATTTATTTAGTCTTTGAACTTATAAGAAAAAGAAAAGAGAGAGAGAAAAAAAGGATGATGTCAAAAATAGGTTTGGCGGGAAAAAATTTCATGAGAAGTTGGCATGTCTCCCTTATTGATGTCAGCATGTTTTGTACGTAGTATTAGTAATAGTTAATAGATGTTTTGGATTTGTAAGACAACATTCTTATTATTCTAAAATAATACAATCTTTGGATAGTATCACTTTAAAAAGGTTGTGACCGGTTGGTAACTTGATCAACAGGTTAAGTGTAACACTTGTCACTACTTGATTAGTTAAGACTTTTTTTTTTTTAATTATTAAAAACTTGATTTTAATTTTACGTAACTTATTAACCCATGCCACTTATTAAACAGGTTTCCAACGGTAATAACCTATTTAAGGCGGTTACTAGGTGGTATCATATTATGATAATCAAAAGATCATCTTATTTATAAAAGACCGACCAAATATCGTATTATCATTGATTAATTGAATTTGAGATCGAATTCATATTACCTAATTGGATTTGATTGGATGGAAATCACTGACATATCAGATTGAAGTGGACTCACAAATTCACAATCCAAAAACGAATATAAATTCAAACGCCAAATTTAAACCGAAAATCGAACTCTCACCCTTAACTTGTCATACTCAAACCTTAGGGGGTGTTTGGTATGGAGTTAGTATAGGAAACGGAATGGAAATAAATTAGGAGGGGAAAAGGTAACAAAAAGTGTTACCCTTACTAGTTGTTTGGTACATCAAAGGAAACGGAAACAATTATCACCATTCCATTTCCTCTTGTTTGGTATAACAAACGGAAATGAAAAATAAGAATGAATAATATAATATTGTCTATGCTACATTTTTTTATGGTAAAAAAAAGATAAAAAAAAATAAAATAACCTGTATTGAATATATATATATATATATAGCAAAGTTGACACTCATTAATTATCCAAACATTGACTAATAATAAAATAACCTATATTGCTCAAGTTGCATATGTTCAACAAAAAAACAAAGACATTGCTCAAGTTGCTACTTCTTCTTAAGAAGATCAATTGCATATTGTTTTTTCATATTAAATGGTGCTTGATAGAAGATGCGAAGCTTATGTTCTTCCGCCATGAGAATAGTAGCAACCTCTAAAGCTTCGGATGGAGAAATGCCATCTAACTTCATCACCTCGTCCAATACCTTGTTCACCTTTTCATCCATTCTTTGCTCCCTTTCTTCCGCTTTAGACCATGCACTAGCCATAGTCCCGAGATTAACATTGATATTTTCAAATATCTTCCCAAAATTGTTGGAACAATCATGGAGGGAGGCCACCAAATCATCATCATCATTCCTACACAAACTCTTCAAATTTACCTTGTTCTTTCCTTTCACCTTAGTCTCCTTCGCCTTTATAGAGGGTTTTCCGGATTGAGTAGTAGAATCACTTGCGGAAGAATGAATTGTAGAAGCCTTCACTTTTGCCATTTTTGAAGGAGTTATATGATCATCCTCTATCTTCATGGGGCGTTTTCCGGATTGACTTGTAGAAGAATAAGTGTCCGAATGAGTAGAATTCACATCATCTTCTTCATCACTCTCGACATTGAATGGTTGCTTATCAATCTCTTGACCCATTTCTTCTATAGCATCAACAAACGACTCACTTGCATCTCCGGTAGCTTTGTCTTTTGCGTATATCTCCGCAAGAGTTTCATAGTGAATGAATGGAACTCCAAACAACCCTTTAGCTTTCTTATGAGTCTGCCATATAAGAGAATGCAACAAGTCAAAACATGAAAATCAGAACTGAACCAGGCAACTGTTAATCACAGAAAATAAAACCACAAAAAATATAATAGAAACAATCATCAACAATAATCACCACAGTCCAAAGCAGACTGCAATACAACACACAAAGCACCAGCACCCCTTACCCCAAGAAACAGCCCCAGCAAAGAAAATTACATAAAAAGTCATTCTGCCCAAGCTTCTTTTGCACTTATAACCACTAGCTATTGTGTAGCCTTTTAGCATCATCAATCCATATATCACCACAAGAACCAGATTTCATAATATCTCTTATTCTCCACACTTGCTTCCAATTCCAGCTTGCATTCTTAGGACACTTGAATCTCTTCCAGGTTTTTTTTTTAATCCATGAATAATCTGCAGAAAATTTGACAGCACTTCCCCTAAAACAGACATATATCTAATTTTTAACCTCGTAAAAACCTGCACAAAAGACCAGCCATGCTTCATACATGGCAACACAAAGAAACCAGGTATAGATTTAAAGCAAAATGAGCATTTGTAGCAGTACATAATTCATATATAAACTGTCCAGCACCTACCCCTCTCCCCTATCACCTATTCCCCTCCCTTCCCCCTTCCATTACACACACTGCTTCTCTCCCTGTCCAGCAGCAGTTCATACCTTCACCCATTCATACCTTTACACACAACTGTCCAGCAGAGCAGCAGTTCTAAAGTGTAATTGAAAAAAATGAACAAAGAAGAATGAAATAGCAGTTCATACCTTCACCCATTCATCGTACACGACCTTGTCTACTTGCAACAATTTCTTCTCAGCATCCCATCCAAATCCCGAGGTGGATAGCATTTCTGCAAATGCACTATATTTCTCCGACCAATGCTTGATCCTCGACTCAATGTGGGGAACTGCTCTCAAGCCACAATTAGGAAGTACACCATTGATCATCTCTTCCAACTTATTCATGTAACCATTCTTAAACCCATTATCACACTTCCACTTCGAATCGCAACTCAACTCATGCAAATATCTTATTAGAACTACATCTTCTTCATACGTCCAATACCTTTTATTTTTACCTCTTCCTCGATTGCTAGCCTCCATCCTAAGCAAATTAGAAATAACATAAGGCAGATTAGAAATAACAGTAGGCAAATTAGAAATAAAAAGAACAGAAGGCAGATGACCATGTCTATAATATAATCGAAGGTAAAAAAAATCATACATTTTTTGCTATTGACCATGTCTACCTCTCGCCCTCCAATCATTAAACATATCTTGGGCTAATTTGTTTCTAAAATTGGTCCAATGATCCGAAGTAGCAACACTTGTAATAAATTCCCTTTCATCATCGGAATCACTTTCGGAATCATCATCGGATTCATTCAATTCATCTTCGTTTATATCATCCGTAGGCATGAATTTTCTAATTAGATTATGCAATAAGCAACAAGCCATCACGATACGTCCATGAGTTCTTATAGGGAAAAATGAAGGACTTCTAAGAATACTCCATCTTCCTTTAAGTAGGCCAAAACATCTCTCAATCACATTTCGCGCCCTAGCATGTTTCATGTTATAGAACTCCTCGACACTTTCGGGTTGTTGATCCGTCCATTCTTTTAAATGGTATCTTTGACCTCTATATGGAGCAAGAAAACCCTCACAATTCGTATATCCCGCATCAACCAAATAATAATTACCTTCAAAGTTATTAAAGGAAAGGATTACTACCTACCAAAACTAACAAAACTTATACACTCACAAAAGAATGAGCTTCACTTACCTCGAGGTACCCTAAAACCGTTTGGTCTAGAGAGAGCATTGCGAAGTACACGCATATCATGGGCCGAACCTTCCCAACCAGGAAGAACATAAATAAATTGCAAATTGGGTGCACAAACACCCAATACATTCATAGCAATTGTTCCTTTTCTTGTTCTATATTTTGGTCGTTCTTGTGAAGGCACATTTACATTAATGTAAGTCCCATCTAATGCCCCTAAACAATTCTACAAAAATAAAAAAAAAATATTACTTACATACAATCAAAAATAAGAAAATCCTAGAAAAACTTAGGGGCTTAAAAAAGACCAATACCTTGAAAAATTTCCACCTTTCATCTTCACAATCATCTAATATTGGTGTGGGATTGTAAAGTAATACTTCGTGTAATTTGAGAAGAGCCCTTAGACAAAGGTGAAATTGTCGGCTCACGGTTTCTCCACTTCTAAAGAAATATTGTCCAATAGACCTATTCTTCTTGTGGTGAGCCAACGTGTATAAAAACATGGCTACGATCTCTTGAAGTGACATGTTTTTTGTTCCACTCAAACCACCAATGTCTCTAAGCATCTCACAAATAATATTGAAAGTTCTTCTATTAACGCGAAGCTCACTCTTGCATTTCACATCACTCTCTTTATAAAGCCCTCTCAAAACTAACATTCGTAGCAACTTTTTGTTTCTTTTTCTTTCTTTCAATTGAACACCCTTTATTGTAACAACACACATCATATGCCACATCCAATACATCATCAAATAATAATAACCATTGAAATAACTAGTTGTATTTGTTTTAGCTTTTTCTTCCTTGAGGAACGCATAAGTCGGGGCATTGTAGAAATCTTGAAAAACTAGTCCAAAAAATATACAATAGTATCAATATATTACCCATAAAAAACCATTAAAATACAAGAAACAAATACATCATCGATCAACATAATCTGATTTTTGGCCGGATGGAGCAATAACATACATGAGGGTAATCGTCTGCGATAGAAAACTAGAAAATGATTTTATTTATTATATAATAAGCACGCAATTACAACATATAAGAGGTTGAATATATATAATAAGCACGCAATATCCTCTATCAATTAGATAGAAATAATTTGGTGTGTTAACAACAATCAATACCAATTAGACATTCGTTTAAGAATTTATAAATTAATCTACCCAAGCCAACCCCTGTCCCCCATATAATAAAGGAAAAAAAAGTCATAACCAATATCATTTAGTTCATACATACGAATTATACATTATTAATCAAGTAGATGGCTTGATGGTATGATGTTTAAATGAAAGTTCAATAAAATTGGAGATTTAATAGTAGAAAAACTACTGCATTTGACTCTTTCCGAAAAACAAAAATAAAAAAACAAAAAAAATTGACAGCTATTATGAATATCCAAATACTGCACAAATCGGATGAAATCATTCGTCATCCCATTGTCGAATTACTCACTTGATACTGATACGTTTCCAGGCGTTCCAGGTAAAATATACTACCATCCTTAACTTCAAAACTCACCCAAAAACCACCATCACCATGACATTCACTTACCCAATCAAAAACACCACCGATCCTCACCACCAGAAACCCCATCCACCTCTCATAAGTTCACCTCCAACCCTTGAACCCGATAAACAGCAAAACAACAGCAATCAACAAAGAATGTTCCACCAATCACGCAGATTAGCAAATAAAACATAGTAATTATATCAATATCTAGTTAATCAACAAAGAATGCTCCACCAATCACGCAGATTAGCAAATACAACATTGTAATTATATCTAAATCAGAGTCATGTATATTGTCGAGCGAGTATAGCAATAATCAACAATTATAGCAATAATAGCAATAATAGCAATATATAATTATATACTATCAAATTCAGCAGAAAATCAACAAAAGATAAAAAAAAAATTCAATCGAACAAGCAAGTAAATAATTCAAACCAGAAACGGCAAAATTGATATTGCATGAACCCTAGAAATTGAACGAGAGAAATGAAGATAGCAAACCTGATATTTGCAGTAGAAAATTGAAAATTTAGGAGCAAGATCTGGAGAATTGCAGCTTTCCTTGTAGAATCGTCTAGCAAGATCTAGAGATTTGCAGTAGAAAATCGAGCGAGCGAAGAGGAGGGAGAAGAGTTTTCTGTATTTTTTGTGTTAAAGGAAGGAAAGAGAATCTGTTTCCTCACTCATTACGGCGGAAACAATTGGGTGGAAATGATTACCACTTACTAACGGTTTGTGTTACTTTAGTCCGTAACCAAACACAATGTAACGGAAACACTAACATGATTCCGTTTCCACCCCTTTAGAAAACCTATACCAAACACCCCCTTAGTGTGAAGAAAAAACAAAACAAAAAAAAAATAAAAATAAATTATCAATTGCAATTTCTTTGAACTGAAAAAACTCACCCCTTCCAATTTCTGCAGTAAAATTGAGGCCAACACAATCTAGCCATTGGAAATGAGTTTCATGTTAACAACACAAATCATCATTTCTACTGCACACCATTCATCATTTTAGGGATTTTTCCGACCCTCAAAAACCCTAATTCTTTCCTTCCAATTTCAAACTTTAGGGTTTTCCCCCAATTACTCGAACTATCAGCTGCTCGTTGCTATGCGGTACGTTTACCATTTTGTTTTCGCCTTTTTGATTCGTTGAAGCTAAGAATTATTACATTTATGATCTTTTCTTGGTGCTTATTTTTGATATTTTTTTCGAATTTGAAGCATTTAGAGTGCGGTTTTAGATGATTGTGGAATTGATTTTTTTTTTCTTTTTATATTATCACGCAATTTTGAATAGAATAACTGGGAATGAATTGGGGATTAGAGAGCGAGATTAGTTTTTGCTTGTTGTGTACTGAGTGAATTTAATTTTAAAATTGTGTTTTAATTTGGCTGAATTTTTTTAATTTAATTTGGTAGTTTTTGCTTTTTGTGTATAAATTGAAATTTGGCTTCTAATTGTTTTTTATGAGTTGTATTTTATAATAAATGCTGCCGTAGCTGTGAAGATATCAACACTTTTTTTTTCTTTCCTGCTTATGAATTTTGTGGTATTACAAGTTTCTTGTTGCGATAATCGATACCGTGCAAAATCTAATTTAATTTTGATTTATTGTCTGTTTAGTAAATCTCAGTTTTCCTTACTTAGTTGGCAAATTGATACTTTTGCTTTTGGGTTTGTAATGATATACTACCATCAAGGAAGTTGTGATTTTCTCGTTGCAGGGACTAGTAATTTGGCGTAATTCAAAGATTGTGGGGGATTTATTTTTAATTGCAATTTTGTGAGTAGTAGTAGTATTAGGCTATGTATGGTCGAGGAAATTATGCTCCCCAGTTTGGGCAAGGTCTTCAAAGACCAATGGCTCCTTATCAGCAACAACTTGCTGGTCATCCTTCAGCTTCACTTTTCCAACCGGGGAATGCCGCTCCCTTGCAACCTGTACATGGAGTTCCACCTCGTGGGCCTGCCTATTTAAATGCTCCTCCTGCTCCACCAAGCATGCCGCATCAAGGTCCTCCAGTTTCTACTTCGAACACTGGTCAGCCTTACATGCATCGACCTCTAACAGGACATAGTGGAGCCCCTGCTCTTTCTTATCTAGCTACTCAACAAAATTTTGTTCCTGGGAGTCCCAATCCCAATCCTCCCCCTCCCCCGCCCTCTTCTATGGGTCATCCTAGAGCTCCACCACCACCTCCTTATATGCAACTTCCACCACCGCCCCCACAGGCCCCACCACCCCCAACAGCTGCTGGTAATTTCTCCCCTGCTAATTTTGACTCTGCTAAACAACAAAGCACAGAGTCTCATATGTCTTCCTTAGGTCCCCCACCACCGCCTCTTCCACCCTCTTCCCCGCCAAGGGCTCCACCTCCTCCATCAGCCTGCTCCTCATCTTCTCCTAGGAAGTTTTCTACACCCACAAATACAGCTTCTGGGTCACCAACTCAATCAGGGCATGATCCCATATCTGAACAAGTTCTTGTGTCTGAATCTAGTGGTAATATCACCACTCATAGTCACAAAAGTGGTGCCACTCCAATTTCTGACGAAGATGTATCATTGAATCAAAGTGTTTTGCTGGATCTTCCTCCTCCACCACCTAAGCCAGCAGATGAGAACGTTGTTCGTAATATTGAAGTCCTGTGCCAGTTTATTGCTAAGAATGGGCCGGAATTTGAAGAAATGGCTCGTAAGAAAGAATCTGGAAATCCAGAGTTTGACTTTTTAGTCGGAGGCGATCCAGGAAGCGAAGCTTCATGTTCACATGAATATTTCTTGTGGATGAAAAAGAAATGTAGTCTTGTTAATGATTTGCACAAAGGTCAAGGCCAGAGAGATTTGTCTCATACGTATGGTGATGGTGAGCCCTCTGCAGGACCTAATTCTTTACCCAATGTGAGAACATCTCATTCACCTGCAGATTCTGATGTAGACATGGAAGGTTAGTGCTAATTTTATAGCGAATGTGTTTTATTTAAAATTAAGGTCTTGAGTTTCATATTATCACGCTTTGATTATCTCTCTTTTTTCATCTTAGTTAAGATCATTTACTTCTGTAATGCCAGGAACTTATCATTTGTCAACTTTCTTGAACGTGGAGGAAATATTCTCTCTGTCATACCTTAGTTTTGACACTTAACATGACACATAGTTTTATCCCTTTTAGGTGATAAGCTTGATTGTCAATTTATGTTTTATTAAGAAAGCAGATGTGAATAGAGATAATGGGCATTTTACTGAAAAATTAGATGTGATAGAAGACAGTGGAGTTATTTGTTTTTGAATGTGAGAGAGTGCGAGGCCCTAACTTTTTGGTAATGAAAAAAGAGATTATAAATGATATTGGGGCCTTTCCTGAAATAGAATTGTAAAAACTAGTCTTTCGATGAAAAAGGGAAGTTATAAAACATGGGGAGGATTGGGGACATAGGCAGTACATTAAACCTAACTGGCTTAGTAAATGATAGTAATTGGTCTATGCAATATTGCTACCTGAACTTCAAAGTTATCTATATGACACAATCGATGAAGCAGTCACCTCAGGGCTTATTTAATATTAGTTCTGTGTTTTAAACTAATTTTTGTAATCGATGTAGTGTGCTTTGTACCTGAAAGTGATGGTCTTCCATCTGTTTTGTCTAGCATTGCATGTTTGAATTTGGCAATCGTAATTTATGTTGTGGGTATGATTTTCTCCTTTGGTCTTCAGTTTTTCACCTAACATCTTTTTAATTCTAGGATAAGTGTTTCATTATTTTCCCATGTTTTCTACTTCCCTTCCCCAAAGTTGTGCATTTGATGGTTTTATCTCACATCCACATGATGAAGCAATAACTCTCCTGGCGATTGATGTTTTGAGCATAAACATAATGTAGTAATTAAATCTACTTAGTAGAGTTAGTACTGCATGAACTGAGAAGTGCATGGAGATTGTTGACTACTATTGATGCCCTGGCTCTTGTTTTATGATGTGGCTTGATTTGTCCCACACTCCCACTAGACTACTGCTTACTATGTCTTATAATTTTCCTTGTGATATGCTCCTCCATTGTCTGCGCTTATTAGAATGTAATGACTGATGTTTGAGTAGCTTGGGTATTGTTTTTTTAAGTAGTCTTTGCTCTCTTTTACTTTTACTTTCCCCCCCCCCACCCCCCCCCCCCCCAAGTATATTAGTTATATTTAGAGTTAAAACTTAGGTTTCCTTGGCATCCAAATAAAAGCAAACTAGTTGACTTGGCAATTCCACCGCCTTGTCAAGTGACCAAACCATGGTGGCCACTTTCTCCAAGTTGTGTATAGGAGGTAATGGTTGCCAATACCTTTGGGTCTAGCTTGGTATACTGTCCCCATCCTAACCTAGGTGCTAATTTCCTCTAGTGAACTCTGAGATAAAGGTTTTGACACTGAGACTCCTGTATGGATTGAACTCTTTTATGAGCTCTACAGATAGGATTGAAACTCCAGTACTGTTTTTATTAACTATCTGTTCCTTTATTTATATTTAGAATTTAATGTAAACAGTTACCTTGACACCCAAAATAACCAAATTAGTTGACTTGGCGATTCCGCCGCCTTGGCAAAAAAACCACAGTGGCCACTTTCTATAAGTTGGTAGTGGAGGTAGTTGGTTGTCTAGACTCTATACCTTTGGGCTTAGCTTGGTATATGTCCCCATCCTTCCCTAGGTGCTAATTCCTCCCTGAAATGATTCAAGATCCCATATTGTTTTTATGAAACCTCTATTTATATTTAGATTTAAAACTTAAAAGGTACCTTGGCACCCAAAAAAAAAAAAAAAATATTAGTTGACTCGGTGATCCCACCGCCTTGGAAAGCGACCAAACCTCAATGGCCACTTTCTCCAAGTAGTGTAGACAGTAATGGTTTGTCTATACCTTTGGGCTTAGCTCAGAACTTTGTCCCCATCCTTCCCTAGGTGCTAATTTCTCCTAGTGAACTCTGAGATACCAAAACTCCTGCATGGTTTTAATATAAATTCTCTTCTGAGATCTACTGAAATGATTGTAACTGAAGGAGGGGCGTGCAGCTTTATCTTTATCTTACAGTGTCACTTTTTTTAGGATGACAACTAGATTATTGAATTGGGAACTTCTTAATTAACTTGAGGTCTATGTCTAGCATGCTTGACTCTATCTGAGCTTGAAGTGTTTTGAATGGCACATTTGAAATCATGTGGAGCAATTCACTTTGTTTGTCACTTTTTCTGGTATCATTTATGATAATGTTTACATATTGGTTATTGTCTGCATTTTCTATCACATTGTGAACTGTGCTGTCAAATTCTGTTGCAGCATTCATTCACTTGTTAAAGCTCTTGAAGCTGGGGCAGAAAAGGGTTCCCCCCCCCCCCCCCTCTCTCTGTGTCCGTATCTGTTTTGATTCCTTTAGTTGATGATCTTTTACAATTAATACGTGGTTTCTTAACAATTGGGAATTTGGTCACTGCAGTTGGGCTATAGAAGCTGATTTCTGAATCACCTTTGTAATAAATTTTCTATCCACAATTCTTAAGAGAATGAGCTATGGTATATAAAGGGATGTAAAATGACATTTTTCTCTTTAGATTGTTGCATTAATTTATTAATGTCTCTCTGTCTCATGAAGCTTTTAGTGATCATCCAGCCATTCTAATGTTTCTATGAATTCTTTTGCATATCTCGTATAGTTATTTTATCATATTACAATTGTCCTTCCTTTCTTAGAGGAGCCAACTAGTGGGTTTCATTCAAATTTTTTCCTAGAGAAATTTCTTATTTTTTCAAATTTGAATTATTCTTACCAGAATGTTTATATATGCTTTGTTGCTATTGGATTGTGGCTTTTAGATGATATCACACAATCTGATAAAGAGCATGGAGTTTATCATTCAGTTGAAGATGTTGAGCCAGAGCCTGTTTTAGCTGGGGACG